CACTCTCATCCCTCCTATAGCTAACAAAGCACAGAATGTCTCTCGCTCACTAAAGCTTTTTGATTGGATAGCTATTTTCATCATTGTGCTGTCCGCCTGTCAGTCTGGTATTTCAGCTTATTTATCAAAACACACTGGAAACATAATGTAGTGAAAAGTCGAGGATAGTATTCAATATGGACATTAATTAATTCTTTAGCCCATAAAACCAGACTAGAGATCACGTGACACTTGCCTGAGTCACCTGACTCCGTATCTGTGTGATACAATGCATCGTGTCGATAAACCGATAAACAGTCTTTGCTCTCGATAGCAAACATGAAGTCAACCGCTCTGATCCTCGTGTGCGTCACCATCGCTACAGGTGAGATATTCGAAATGTGCTATTAATCCGATTACTCAGTAAGGTCAGTGGTCGAAGTAAAAATTATAATGTTTGATTTAAGAACATTTACGAAGCATTGGATTGGGTGAAATTAATAAACTAGGAGATGAAAACGTCAAAGACGCTTTTCTTTCGAAATTGACCAGATACTTTTACATTTTTCATATTTTACGAAATGAGGTGAGGTGAGGTGAAATTGGGTTTAACGTCGTGCTTGAGAATATTTCGCTCATATGACGACGTTCATGCGTGTGTATGTGTATGTGCGGCTGCTTGTACTAGCCCAGACTTAAGCTGGTTTTATAGTGATAGCTCACTGAGATACCATGCCGCAGTGAAGGCTGAATACCCCACTCAGACACAGTATACTGACTCCGAGCCGACCAGTACTTGTTGTACCCATTAATGCCGAGCGCCAGGCAGGGACCAACAAGTACCATATTTTAACGTCTTTTGGTATGACTCGGTCGGAGATCGAACCCGCGACCTTCCACTCTCCGGGCGGATGCTCTAACCACTACACCACGGAGGCGGTCTTTTAAAAAATGAAGTTAATTAACATGGTCTTAAGATTTTCAATGTAAGTACCTTTTTGGTTGACGGATTCCTTCGTTTCATTGTGTAGTGATACGTGTCGTTTTTACGGAATATTTAACACACCTGAACGTGACATTCTTTATTAATTGATATTGGTCAACATGCGGACTCGATGACATGAGTGAGTGAGTTTAATTTTACGCCGCTTTTAGAAATATTCCAGCAATATCATGGCATCGGGACACCAGAAATGGGCTTCACACATTGTACCCATGTGTGAAATCGAACCCGAGTCTTCGGAGTGACGAGCGAACGCTTTAACCAGTAGGCTACCCCACCGCCCTAATGATATGAAACGGGTTACCCAGTTGGAGTTATGTGCCGTATGAGGGCCAGGATCCTGTGATCTTGTTTTCGAATCCACTTTTCGCCAGATTATGAACCAAACTGTAAACCTGTTTTTTTCAAAAATCATCAGCAGTTTCATTTCACACTGAACTAAATCTTCATAATATGGCTGAAATACGGCGTAAAGCACTCATCAACAAACGACCATTATTAAGTCTGGTCACGAGTATATTACTGAATGCACTGCAGGCCTGTATGTCGACCACGGTGATCCATACAAATCCGGCACGTTGACAACGGGGAAAGTCGTCGTTACCGTCCTCGAAGACAAGAGCCCCCTGCATGCCGTCGCCTACTACCCTAACGTCACCGGGGACTACGGCGTTGTCTTCTTTATCCCGGACTGGACGGTGTTATTCTCAGCGAGTTCTACTCCGAGTGTCTCACTGCAATAGCTCAGCATGGGTAGGTCAAGTCAGTCTTGAAACTGTATTAAACACGGCATGGGCAGGTGATACCACATACGTCAACACCATAGCTCAGCATGGGTAGGTCAAGTCCACCTCGAAACTCTGTTGCTCAGCAAGGGTTGGTGATACCACATACGTCAACATCATTGTTCAGCATGGGTAGGTCAAGTCCAACTCGAAACTCTGTAGGTCAGCAAGGGTTGGTGATACCACATACGTCAACATCATTGCTCAGCATGGGTTGGTGAAGTCCAACGCCTAAACTCTCTAACTGAGCATGGGTAGGTGATATGAAGTATCTCAAAACTGCATATCAAAGTGGATAGGTGCTGTCAGGTATCTGAACACTGTACCTCAACAACAAGGGTAGGTGATATCAAATGTCTCAACTAGGGACTGTTAGGGGATATCAATTATCTCAACTCTAAAGCTCAACATATGAGAACTCAACTATCGTTACACTGTACCTTAACTTAGGGGTGTGATATCCAGAACCTTAGTTATGTTGCTCAACATGGGCCACGACATGATAAGGTAATGTTGTGTTGCCCATAGTCGGTTTACTCATGACTATTGATGGAGATGGACCACCTATGTGTGTCACTTGCGATGAAGCGTTCACCATCAAGCATATACTGCTTGACTGTGTGGACGTTTCAGGTTCAAGGGATTCACATTACCAAGCGATAAATCTGAAAGATCTGTTTTCCCGCTTGAGCGGGCATCTCATTGTGAACTACCTAAGGGAAGTTGACCTGTATCATAAATTGTAACTATGTAATGTGAATGACGGATTGCATGTTTTTTTATAAAACCCTTGTGCTATGACGTTGTCTGTTTGTCATGAATGCCATGAATAAATATGTTATTTTTAAAAACCCAACTCCTTTAAGCTTTGTGCCAAAATGACCATGTGTACAGACTTGGTCTCGTCGCTATATGGCTGAAGTTATGCCGATGTGACGTCACACTCAACTCAACTCAGTATGGGTAGGTGTTGAGAATCAACTTGAGTAGGTAATATTCAATATGTCAACTACGACATCCCTGAGTTATCCTTAGAACGTCGTAATTTTGGAATTTGTTTCAATATTCTATTCCCCAATGTTTGTAGATTCGTCGTGGTCGCTAGTGACTACATTTTTCCTGCGCTTGATAACCCGTCCGGTAACCACATGAACAAAGAGAAACTTGGCTCCATCGCTGACAAGTACATGGAGCAGTTTTACTGGGTAAGTATCAGTCTGGTCGTCGTCTCGCTCGTGCCATTTCTGCCAGGGGAGCAGTGGCTCCATATTGTATCCATTGCAACAAGGATTGGTTTCACAGATTGAATCGAACCCGTGTCTTCGGGGAACTCATTGTCCGCTAGACATGGCATTCTAGCGGTAACATCACAGTTAACAAATGGGGCGGTGGGGTAGTTCAGTGGTTGAAGGGTTCGCTCCTCACTCTGACAACCAAGTTCGATTCCCCACATGGGTACATTGTGTGAAGCCCATTCCTGATGTCCCCCGCCGTGATATTGCTAAAAGCGGCATAAAACCCAACTCATTCACTCACTCAGTGAACAAATCAACACAGCCTATAGGGGCATCCTTCATGCTGTCAGGTTACATTGGGATCGGGTAGTCAGACTCGCTGACTTGGTTGATGCAGGTTATTATATTCCAGTTACGTAGATCGATGATCATTATATCAATCACTACATTGCCTATTCCAGACTCGACAAATTAAAACAGCATGGTAAAAACCCTATCCGGGTTAGAATTGGGGGCCGTTGTACAAAGCAACCTTAGCGCTTCGCCAGTCGTAAGTTTATCTTAAGGTATGGGAGTTACGATCACCTTAGCGCAAAGATCGTTTTGTACAACGACACCCTGATCTTTAGCAACCCGTGTTTGTCGTTAATGATATCAATCACTGGATTATCCGGTCCAGATTCATTCACTTAAGGACGCTGCCATGCGCAAGGTTAACACGTCTCTCAACTTCAATTTGAAAGCGCGGCAGGGCTGCAATCAACATTATTAGATTGTCGTAAAAAGCAACCAAGATGGATCTGTTGTGTTAACCGCGCATTTCTTATGGATGAGGAGGTGGGGTAGCCTAGTGGTTAAAGCATTCGCTCGTCACGCCGAAGGCCCGGGTTCGAATCCCCCCATGGGTATAATGTATGAAGCTCATTTCTGGTGTCCCTCGTCCTGATATTGCTGAAATATTGTTAAAAGCGGCATAAAACCATACTCACCCACTCTTATTGTAAGTCGTTCGATTGATTACAGGCCACGGTGAGAGTGTGAACGATGCAATGATGCTAAATGAAACGCCCGTCAGCAATACTGCGCATATACTTTCAGCTGAAGTCCAACCTGCAGAGGTTAATCCAAGCAGTAACACCGGGCGTGAATAGCAGTTGGGACCACGTCGCGCTTCTCAGTCACTCTGCCGGGGCCGACGCTTTGTTGAAGATGACGGAGAGAAACCATACCTTGTTCCAGGTTCGGCATTTATGTCTAAACTATGGTATCCTAGAAGGGCCATTGTCGCACTTTGCTTAGTTTTGACACTGTTTGCTTGTTTTGGCGACTAGGCGACAGAGCGATAATGTCCCTTTTAGAACTTCATGTACCAAACGGCTGTTGGCGTTTGTGGCTGAGTTTCTTCCCTTCGTGGAACAATGACATCAGGTTACATCGGGATCGGGTGGTCAGGCTCGCTGATTTGGTTGATGCATGTTATTTTATTCCAGTTGCGTATAGATCGATGTGCATGATGTCAATCACTAGATTGCCTGTTCCAGACTCGACAAATTAAAACACCAAGGTAAAAGCCCTAATGGACCCGTGAAGATCTTGCGAAACTGAACTGACAAAACCTAGTTTTGACACGTTTTGCTAGTTTTTGTGAGGACGACGGTATGGCAACGCATCAATGCCCTTTTAGGATTCCAATACAAAGTCGTACTACATATAAAACACCATGACTGACTTAACTAATGCATATCCTCTTATTTCAGTTCGGTAGATAGATGCTAGTGATATCAATCACGTAATTGTCTGGTCCAAACTCGATTATTAACAAACCGACCTCATATAGATAGAATAGTGCAGGGTGCAGCGTGAAACAACAAATATCACTTAAATATGTTCTAGTGTTGCTTGTTTGGTTGTAATTGTTCGGTGTGAACCATTGTTTCAGGCTGTCGTGTTTTGGGAACCCTTCAGTTATCAGTTCACGACAAAGACCAACTACTCCTCCCAGCTCTCATCACGGGGACGCAGCTGTCCACGAAGAAAGCGATCATCGTCCCATGCATCATCGCTGGTTTCGGCTACAACCACTTCTACGACATGTGGGGGGAACCTCCTAAAGTCCTCGTGGACGCCAAGGTGAATAAGCTCAACTTACCTTCACTTTAATAGATGCTGCCACTAACGCCACATCTCTATCTACTGCTGCTCCTACTACCGTACCTCCTAATGCTGCAACTACCACACCCCCTACTACTACACGGGTGACCCATGAAGATACGAGTTAAAAGTGGTCTCCAGTAACCCATGCTTGTCATAAGAGGCGACTAACGGGATCGAGTGGTCAGACTCGCTGACTTGGTTGACACATTTCATCGTATCCCAAATTGCGTAGTATAACGATGCTCATGATGTTGATGACTGGATTGTCGTGTCCAGACTCGATTATTTACAGACCACCGCCATATAGCTGGGATATTGCTGAGTGCGGCGTAAGTGTATGCTAAAGTATGGGAGTGAGTTCATCTTCGCATAGCCCAACATCTAGTCACTGAAATGAACATATTTTACAGAAGGAAATGTTTTTCTATGTTATACTAATAGAATATAATAAAAAGGGGGCCTATTGATGATATTCAGAAACTGAATCTGTAGTAATCCAGACTTGTCACATATTCCAGACCTTTGCTTTCCGATCGTTTTGTGGGACAAGACCCCAATAATAAAAGACAGGCAAACTTAGATTGTTTGTTCTATATTTTATAATTTCTTCTTTACAGAACTTTGGTCACTGCGACCTCATGGATTATGCCTTTCGTGATTGTAAGTGTGATAACGCGACCTAAACATATAGATAGTACCTATGTAGATACTATAGATATGGTTATCATGTATGTCATGTATGAACGATGCTGAAGAGTGTATAAACTGACATATACAACATACGGTTGCTATCGACAGTGAGATAATAACATGATAAGGTGAAACAGGAGATTACCGTAGATTACCCCATCAATGTAAACTGTTTCGTTTGGAACAACGTCTGGATTAACCAGGTTTCATTGTTTATGAGTTTGGGTGCCTCCTCTGGAACAGTGTCATGGGAATTCTGTGTTAGACCAATCTCCCAAAACCTGTACTGGTCCACCAAAACATGCCACCTGATATACAGGGGTAACTTGGTTTATTGAATAGCATGGCAACCTGACCACGCTGATAGTTGTTCATAATATCAACCACCAGGTCCAATCAATGTCAATCATCGCCGTCATATAATTTGAATAAACCCATGAAGAATTGGTCTTCTGTAACCCATGCTTGTCGTAAGAGGCGACTAACAGGATGGGGTGATCAGGCTCACAGACTTGGTTGACATATATCATCATATCCCAATTTTGTATATTGATGCTCATGCTGTTGATCACTGGATTGTCCAGCGCGGCCTCGATTATTTACAGACAGCCGCCATATAGCTGGAATATCGCTTAGTGAGTGTAAAACTAAACTCACTCCCTCACTTTAATTTGAGTATAACTGAAGGAAGTGTTAAACAGCAAGACAAACAACCTATCCTATAATGTTGGTATTTCTCCACAGTCTGTATCGATACCAAGACGTGTCTGGGAGGTAACGCCTCCATGATCCCAGCTTACCACCAGTACACCCAGGGAATAACATCTGCCTTCCTCGTCGTTTATCTCAGGGCTTCTCCCAAACCATCAACTACGTCATCGACCAGACAAAGATACCACTACCTCTTGATGAGTTTAAATATAACATGTCAGCGCCATCCTATAAACACTGGCCTCTACCATAGGACAGACTGCTTTTATCCTTTGTCTTTCCATAACATGCATTTCAAGTGGGAAAACTTGACAAGATAAAAAAAATAAGACATTGTCTATTGATGTATATATGAATGTGTATACTGTATTCATTTAGAAAGTCTTTTTGTAAATATATACATGAACTATTGATATGCATAAGTGTTTTTAGCGTATGTGTTTTCCACTTGGGGTCAATTTGTGTATCCTGACAGAGGGTAACATTTATTAAAATGGTTCATGAATATGTTACTGATACAGTTGGAATAATTGTGAAAGCACTCAAACTCCGACTGCTATTGTATATGGCAAGTGTGGAAGATATCCTCTCTTTATAAACGCATTGTGTAAAACTTTAAAATATTGGTTAAACGTTATTCATATGCATCAAGATAGAACTCCTTTGAAAGTGTACAAAATGCAAATGCATTACTGTGGATATAAGACATATGCTCCATATATTAGAGAAATACTTTTCTCACATGGATTTGGTTACGTCTGGATGTCTCAGACAGTTGGTGATGCAGCTTCATTCAAGACTGTTGCAATCAATGTGTTTTTCAATCATGGAATTGTACATTGAATAACAGTTCAAGATACCGTATTTACCGAGTTTAAAAGTCTGTTAACTCCAGAAAAATATTTATCATGTATCTTGGACAAAAGTTTCGAAATATTTTGATCAAATTTAGATGTGGGTTATTAAGGTTAAAAGTATAATGAGGGAAGATGGTTAAATGTTGAGTTTGCAACTCGTAATTGTCCATTATGTAATCAAGCTGGGTGTAGAAGATGAGTATCATTTTATTTTTATATGTACTGAATATAACTCCCTTAGATTAAAATACTTGCCATATGTATATCAGAAACAAACAAACTACTATAAATTTTTAGTCCCTGTTATCCACAAATAATGAAACACTTTTAAGAAATTTATGTAACTATATCTTTCATGCTTATAAAATCAGAGCAATCAAACTCCAATAAATGTTCTTTAAACCACAGATTTGTCCATTTTAAATGTTTATGAAGGTGTGTATATATATTTATATTAAATATTATATTAATACTGACAAGAAATCTATTGGAACAAATAACACGTGTATTATTGATATGTATGCCCTTTAAAGTGTATCTATATTTGTAAACAAATGTATGTATGATGTATGGGGCCTGTGGCCTACATACGGAATAAAATACTTGACTTGACTTGACTTGACTTGGATTTGACTAACTGAAAGAGTGTGAGTGAGTGAGTGAGTGAGTGAGTGAGTGAGTGAGTGAGAGTGAATGAGTGTTTAGTTTTATGCGGCTTTTAGCATATTCCTACAATGTCATAGTGGGAGGACACCAGAAATGGGCTTCACACATTGTACCCATGTGGGGAATCAAACCTGGGTCTTTGGCGTGATGAGCGAACTCTTTAACCACTGGGCTACCCCACCGCCGCTCTCACTGAAAACAAGAAGCAGAGTGATGGTGTAGTTGTTTTAATGACTACCTTTCCTTACTATCAGAGTAAGCATCATTACAATTATGCAGACAATTACAGAGTGATCACTTCAGCATCACAGCAACATGGCCAGGCATATGGTCACTTGAACCATGTATGCTGAGACTGAACATGGATTGTATTCTTTCTGACATGACAGACTAATAAATCAACACATTGCCATTGCAAATCCAAAATAATACTACCCAGATGCTTTAATATACATTTTCTAAATTTATCATGCACTGCATAGGTCGTCTGGGTGCAGAGAAGCACTGCAGCTATCGCAAAGTAGTCTTACAGCATAGGAGTGATAGCACTATTATTACTTTCTGCATGTAGGTCCTATGAGGCAAGCACAACAGTTTATCCTGAAAATATAAGCACCTGTTTAAAGGGTTCTTTCATTCGACTTAAGATCTGGGTTCACTCCTCACATAGGTAAATCATACGAAGACTATTCTTGGTGTCCCCTAGTTCTTGAAAATTTCTGAAACCGTTATTGCTCTACAGTTCAAACAAAAGAATTTTCAAGTGTTTTGAACCTCTTTTCACACTCCCACTAACTCACTAACAGGTAACATTAGTGTGTCAAACTTAAATGGAACAATTTTCATAAATATCCCGGATCTATTCGAAAATGCAGGAAGTTCGGAAGTTACGTCACCACTCTCATCCCTCCTATAGCTAACAAAGCACAGAATGTCTCTCGCTCACTAAAGCTTTTTGATTGGATAGCTATTTTCATCATTGTGATGTCCGCCTGTCCGTCTGGCATTTCAGCTTATTTATCAAAACACACTGGAAACATAATGTAGTGAATAGTCGAGGATAGTAATCAATATGGACATTAATTAATTCTTGAGCCCATAAGACCAGAGTAGAGATCACATGACACTTGCCTGAGTCACCTGACCAATGTTGTGCAACGTGCAATGCGTTATCTGTGTGATACAATGCATCGTGTCGATAAACCGATAAATAGTCTTTGCTCTGGATAGCAAACATGAAGTCAACTGATCCCCGTGTGCGTCACCATCGCTACAGGTGAGATATTCGAAATGTGCTATTAATCCGATTACTCAGTAAGGTCAGTGGTCGAAGTAAAAATTTTAATGTTTGATTTAAAAACATTTACGAAGCATTGGATTGGGTGAAATTAATAAACTATGAGATGAAAACGTCAAAGACGCTTTTCTTTCGAAATTGACCAGATACTTTTTACATTTTTCATATTTAAAAAATGAAGTTAATTAACATTGTCTTAAGATTTTGAATGTAAGTAACTTTTTGGTTGACGGATTCCTTCGTTTCATTGTGTAGTGATACGTGTCGTTTTTACGGAATATTTAACACACCTGAACGTGACATTCTTTATTAATTGATATTGGTCAACATGCGGACTCGATGACATGAGTGAGTGAGTTTAATTTTACGCCGCTTTTAGAAATATTCCAGCAATATCATGGCGGGGGACACCAGAAATGGGCTTCACACACATTGTACCCATGTGTGAAATCGAACCCGAGTCTTCGGCGTGACGAGCGAACGCTTTAACCACTAGGGCTACCCCACCGCCCCTAATGATATGAAACGGGTTACCCAGTTGGAGTTATATGTGCCGTATGTGGGCCAGGATACTGTGATCTTGTGTTCGAATCCACTTTTCGCCAGATTATGAACCAAACTGTAAACCTGTTTTTTTACTTCTAAAATCATCAGCAGTTTCATTTCACACTGAACTAAATCTTCATAATATGGCTGAAATACGACGTAAAGCACAATTCACTCATCAACAAGCGACCATTATTAAGTCTGGTCACGAGAATATTACTGAATGCACTGCAGGCCTGTATGTCGACCACGGTGATCCATACAAATCCGGCACGTTGACAACAGGGGAAAGTCGTCGTCACCGTCCTCGAAGACAATAGCCCCCCTGCATGCCGTCGCCTACTACCCTAACGTCACCGGGGACTACGGCGTTGTCTTCTTTATCCCGGGACTGGACGGTGTCATTCTCAGCGCGTTCTACTCCAGTATCTGGGTGTGTGATACCACGTACGTCAACTTACCATAGCTCAGCATGGGTAGGTCAAGTCACCTCGAAAACTCTGTAGCTCAGCATGGGTAGATGATACCACATACGTCAACACCATTGTTCAGCATGGGTAGGTCAAGTCCACCTCGAAACTCTGTAGTAGCTCCAGCAAAGGGCGGGTGATACCACGTACTACGGTGAACACCATTGTTCAGCATGGGTTGGTCAAGTCCACCTCGAAACTCTGTGAACCAGCGGCGGGCAGGTGATACCACTTGCGTTGGAACTTACCATGTAGCTCGGCATGGGTAGGTTCAAGTCCACCTCGAAGAAACTCTGGCCAGCTCAGCAAGGGTTGGTGGATACCGCGTAGGTGGCGCGTTGTTCAACGTCGGGT